GGACTCCTTCTCCTATGGCTTCATTCTTTGTGTTTGTTTTATCAGCTGGCAGCACATTATTACACATTATTCATTCTGACATTAGCTGCTGGGGTAATCAAAATATGATTAATATTATTTTATCTGTGTTTCAGTCAATAAAGGAAATGAATAATGAACCAAAATATGTATTATAATATCATAAAAAACAGATAAAATAAAACTCATTTTTAGTCTGCTGTGATTAAAAAGTCTAAATCAAATGTGTAGAATTGCTCTTAATGGAAACATGAGGTTATTACCATCCTCATCAAATTTAAATTACAGACTGGACATAAAATAAATGATACTGCAGACTGTTTCACAATGTCCAATAATGGTATTAAACTAATAAAAGTACCACTTCATCTTTTATACATTGAAAAAAATTTATCTGAACACATTAAAATGTATGTAGCTTAATGAATCTGTGATTCTAAAAATAAAACATTTGTATCTTTGCATGAATATATCTTGTTTTGATGTTAATCTGCATTTGTTCAAAACACAAGACATAGGTATTTTTCCATAAAAAGATGTATTTATGTAACCCCAGCCAACCTCCTTAAGTACACCAACACAACAAACAATGATCTTGTTTTATTTACTCTGATCCAATCCAGATTATGAAGTAGGAGGAAAAACAAAATAGATCCCACTTCAACTAAGTAATATGGAAATTAAAAAAATTAAGTAGGTTTTAATTAAAAATAGACATTTTGAAACTAGAGTTAAGTAGATCATACAGTCAAAGAAATTACGAGAGATATGCTCAAATTAAGTTGTCTTTACCTGCAAATGTTCATTTTACGTTCAATGGAGTAGCTTATACAAAGACTAGCCTTGCTTTATCTACATAATAACCTGATGCAAAAGGTTGCCTTGATTTTATTAAGTGATGCCAGCAGGAAATGTTTATCAGTGTAATGGGAAAAATTCAAAGAAGAGAACAAGATTAGTTTAATTTCTAGAAACAAAATATGTATGTTAAAGTGTTCATGTATGCCTGCAATGTCACTTCAAGGAAAATGTTTAAAATGAATGAATCTTTTGTTCAAAATCCCCCAACCTCTCACTGTACCTCACTGTTCAACACACTGGAAATAACATCTGTCTCAAGCTAATCACAGGACAGGAAACTGAAACCTATTAGACACAACTATAAGACTGTTTTCACAGGTAGAGAAGTAGGTAGAGAAGTAGAAAAGGTAACAATAAAATAAAGAAATATATAGTTATGTTTACTTTTAAAAAGCTCCTGTAGCAATATAGTGCTGCTGGATTATATTTGGTTTGAATTAAATAAAACATTATGCCGTTTCTCTTTTTTTAACATTTATTTTCTTATTTGTTTGTCTTTTTATAATTGAATTGGTTATTTATGTTTCTCTTCATTCTTGTTGTTGCTACTGATTTATTATTTTTTTCGTTTTGTTGTGGTTCGTTTGCATCTAGTTCCCTTTATTGTCTTGAGTTACAGTATATGTGTCTTCACTTTAGTTACTTGTATTGTACTATAAGACATGTAAAAAACTAAATAATAATCTTTTCCCTATGGCTGTTTTAAGCCAAAATTAAATTATTGTTTTTAATTAATATCTCTATTAAGGGCAGGGCAACTTTATTTGTATAGCACATTTCATACACCAGGGCAATATAGTATGCTTTACAGGGTAATAAAAGTGAGACTATGTCAAAGCATTACACATTTGTATGGACTTATTTGGTTAAAACTGTAGTTAGCAACCAGAAGAAATGTAATGTTGATTTCCAGGTGCCTCTTATAGGAAATGCCCTCTTTGAGGACTGACACATAGACTACATGACTCACAAACCCCCTCCACCTCTTCAG